GTGTATGATTTATTTTTTGAAAGGTCCATCTGTATTTTCCATTGCTTTGGGGTTCATGCACTGAAATTTACCTTTAATTCATTTTTATATACACAGATCAATGGCATTAATTATATTAACATGGTTATGGAGGCACAAGTGCCAAGAGTCTGTATATTTTTTTCATCTTCCCTAAATTGACATTTGTAGCAATTTTAAATTATCCCATTTCTCCTTCAATACTGGCTCCCATGGTTCTACCACAAAAACAATGAATAATTAAACCACTGTCTAAAGACAGTGTGACCAAGGAGACATGTAACATATTTTGATTTTACCTTTGTTGAATTTCTAAACCTATATTACAGATGGTTGTTAAGGGCCTGAGATTAGGCTTTTATGCTATGCAATCTTCTTAGGGCATTTTAATGTCCTTGCTCAATAGGCTGTAAATGAAAAGATTCAACATAGTGGTGACCACAATGTAGATCACTGAGGCCACTGCACCATTTCTGGGAGAATGAGATACAGCTGGGTCAATAGACTAAGTCACATTCCATAAAATAAGGAAACAACTGACAGGTGAGATCAACAGGTAGAGAAAGCATTGTGTATTCTCCTTGATGATGAGACTCTCAAAATGGAGGAAAATACATATAGTAGAAGAAAAGGATCCCTGGCATAGGAATAAATCCAGAGATAGCAATAACAAAATATGTGACTATATTATTGGTAAAAATTATCAGAACAGGCAAGACTAAGTTGAGAAAAGTCACAGAAGAAATTGTAAATTTCTACATCCTTGACATATGTAAATTTTAAGACAAAATGTGATACAGTGAGTTCAAAAGACTGACTAGAAAGGACACCAAAACCAAGAAGACATAGAAGTGAGGGTTCATGATGACTGTGCAATGTGTGTGTGGGGGGGTGACCAAAAAAAGATCATAAACTATCACAGTCAGAAGCATGCCATCAATGCATCCAAAAATGAGTAAAAGACACATCTGTGTCAGGCAGTTCACATAGGAGATGACCCTGTTATGAGTTAGGATGTTCACAATTATCTTTGGGACTTTGGTGAAAATGAAACAGATGTCAGCCATGGACGAGTTGGAAAGGAATAAATAAAAGGGGGTGTGAAAGTGAGAGTCAGAGATGATGGCCAGAATAATGAGCATGAGACCAGATACACAGACAAAAACAGCCTAAGGATTATAGGCTGCAGATCTGGGTTTTCTGAAATTCTCAGAAGATAGAATTCTGAGACAGGTGTTATATTTTGTAGTTCTGTGTTGCTTGGACAACTTTTGATATAAAATAAATTAAGATCACACAAAAGAAACACGAGGAACCGATATTTTGCATGTAGTTTGAATTCAAGTTCTCATGTAAAGTATATGCTGACTATAAAAAATTTGAGCAATAGTTCTGATTTGTAACAAACTCATATTTCTAATAAATCTTATTAATTTCTCTGTTATTGCTTTTTATTCAGACTTTCATGAGACACATTGAAATTTGCCATGTTGGAAGACAGAGATCACTTGGTGTAGCACATCTAGGATTACAGCTTACTCATTAAGACAACATGGAAAATTGAAAGATTTTTCTTTATTTGAAAAAGTGTTATTATTTTGTTTTTTCAAAGATTTGTTTTATCTCATTGAGTTTATTGGTTCATTTTAGGTATACAGTACAGTTATATTCATCACTGGGATCTTGTACCTTTACATGACACTTCTTGGTTCTCATTTTTCCCCTTGTCCCTGCCCTCCCTTCACCCTCTCCTCCCCTCCCCATTTACAAAAACTTTATTTCCATATTTTCATTTTCTCATATTTTTTCTTTTACCTTATTAAAAAAGTGTTATTATTAAAGTAAATGAAAAAGCTTCAAAACAATAATTTTATTTTAACACCATGGTATAGTAGAATTGTTATAATATTTATAAACATTTCAAATATTAGATTTGAAATTATGTACATTCCTCCCCTCCCCATTTACAAAAACTTTATTTCCATATTTTCATTTTCTCATATTTTTTCTTTTACCTTATTAAAAAAGTGTTATTATTAAAGTAAATGAAAAAGCTTCAAAACAATAATTTTATTTTAACACCATGGTATAGTAGAATTGTTATAATATTTATAAACATTTCAAATATTAGATTTGAAATTATGTACATTAAATTAAATATTCATAGAGAAAAGACAATGTTAAATCCCAATTATCTTCTAAGAAAGACATTCACCGTCCTATGATTTCACCATTCTTCTATTTCCCTACTTAACAGGTGGAATTGATTGGCATCATACAGTATCTTTTGTAACTCATTTAATATATAACTTCGTGTTTTTAGTGGACTTCAAATTTTGTATTAAGAGCATTTAGTTCAATATTTATGTCCTCAATTACCACAGCTGTGGAATTAGTGTTTCACTTATCAATAATTTAAAAATTAAAATTGTTAGATAATTTTGAATAGTTTGCATTTTATATAGGTTAATTTGTATAAAGAGCGTATAATACCACTTCAATATCTTCAAATAAGAAAAGTATGTGTCTTTTTTTCTTTTTAAAAATGTTATCTTATACAAACCACATTGTATTGGCTCATTGTCTTCTCATAAATCTTTCCTAGACCTGAGGACTTTAACACTGAGGAAAGTCCCAAATCCCAGGTTTGAATTCCAATAGTGTTATTCTTACTTGATAGATTTTCACATCATTTTTCCTGATTCATTGTTTGTAATTCATACTTCAGATAGTTACAGGCAGGTCCAGTTAATTAATTTATCAGCTCACACTGTAACTTGGTTGTGATAAAATACAAAAGTACAGAAAATCACATTAAACACCTAGACAGTTTTATCATCTCTTATAATTACACATCTTATTTAATGTGAATAAAATTTTAAAAATACTTTGAATTGTATGGATGATTGGTACTTGGTATATTATTACTGTCAATGACATTGACTACTTATATAAAAGTAGACACATTTAATGATGCACATTTCTCTTTAAAAATTATATTAGTGGATATGTAACACAGTGATTACATTTAGTGTGAAGGATTGATAAGTATACATATAACAGCTTTTTGTAGTTCATGCTGTAGGAGTAATCTACTGTAAATCACACTGAAATATGTATACTTAGCAACAAATCTTCCAGAAAAAAAGGGGAAGTAAGGTAGCTTTTCATGCTATCAATGTGAAATAAGCCAAGATTCTATTGGAATCCATGTACTCTAACCAAACAGATGATTCAAATAAATGTTGATCTGTTCTACGTAAGAAAATAATACATTTCACACACAAAAATATTCTGTGATCTTTTATTTTGTGTACAATGAGGATAAAACAGGAACCAAGAACAGAGAAATAACTAAACAGAAGAAGGGGAAATAAGTTGCATGAATCCGTAGCTCCAATACTAGCATTTATAAAGCCCTAAATAATGCTTCAGGAATTTTGGGTTACTGTAATTCTCATAAAAATTATGAACAGCATCATTAATTCTTTGGAGTGCTTTTCAAACAGTTTGCATGGATCCATTTTCTTCTTCTCTTAGTAAAATAGCAGTGAGAAACAGAACCAGTGTAGATGGAAAGCAGTGATTTAATGATATTGTGGGAGGTCTGTTGCAAACAAGAAAAGAAGACTGACAATTCATATACCTAAAAATTTTACATTGTTATCCTCCCATTTGCCTAACCCAACTATAGACCAATCCCAGAACGATAAAGAAACAATGCATCCTATAGTCCTTCCTCCATCCTGGACTCCCTCAGCACTTATGTGGTTATGCTCTGTGCTTCATGATAGCCAAAGATAGTGAATACAATGTTCTGCCTCTGACCAGTGCCCAAGGAAAGGCCAGACTGTCTGCACAAATTGAATTGGATGTACTGATTGACAGGGGTTTCCTAATGAAGACAACCATAAAGTCAGAGGCAAAAGTATGGACACCAGCTAAACTAGGGCATCAAACTGAAGTACTACTGGAACAAAATATCTATTTACTGTACTATGACTTGAGAGTTACAATGCACAGTGCTTATATTTAGTCAAAGTAGCCCATGTTAGCTGAAACTCTATGGAGTTCATAATGTTAATGGAGGGAGAATAAGAAAAGGAGATATGCCAAAAAATTTCCTGCCATCAGGAAGTTTGTGTGTACTTTTTACTTGAAGTGTGTGTTCTTTTAAAAGAAGAATCATCTGCGTTTTATTCCATTTACTCCATTTTTATGGTGGCAAAATACACACAAAATGTGCCACATTAACTACTTTTAAGTACACTCGTCAATGTCATTGATCAATTTGAATTGTGGTGAGACCATTATAGCTGTCTTTCTCCAATGTTTTAATCCCTCTAAACTGAAGGACTTTTTAACTATTTTAAATATTTACCATTTCTTCCTAACCTCAACCCTGGAGACCATAATTGTAACTATGAAATATGATAAATAATTGAAAACACAAAGCAAAAAGTGTAAAGAAGAATCAAAATGTATAATTGATATTGTGTAACAGGAAAGAAATGTCTAAAGGTGTAGGGATACTGGGAGGGGTAGGGGAAAGCTAAGAAGTGAAAAAAAAACAAAACGGGAGAAAAGGAAAAAATGGAAACAAAGTCTCCATACATAGGCAAGGGTGGAGGGGGTGAAAGGAATGCAGGGAAATGGGCAAAAAATAAGAACCAAGATATATCATATAAAGGTACAATGATGAATGTAACTCCATTGTATACCTAAAATGCACCAGTAATGAAAAAAGAAAAAGAAAAAAGCACCAAATTAGGGCCAGGGATTTAGCTCAGTGGTTCTGCACCTGCCCTGAAAGCCCAAGGACCTGAGTTCAATCCCTCTTAACAACAACAACAACAGCAACAAAAGGGAAACACCAAACTATAAAAAATGTGATAAAAGAGAAAGGATTGAAGGACCAGATATTGAAATGTATTGCTGTTTTTTGCAATTTGCTTTTCAAATACATGCTGCAGTTCCTGAGGTTATGTTGTTAAGCTATGGACCCTTCTAAGGGCACTTTTAATGTCATTGTTCCTCAGGCTGTAGATGAAGGGGTTCGGCATAGGGGTGAAAACTGTGTACATCAGAGAGGCCACTGCACTATTTCTAGGAGAATTTGATCCAGCAGATACAAAATAAACTCCAATGGCTGTTCCATAAAATAGGCAAACCACTGAGAGGTGAGACCCACAGGTGGAGAAGGCTTTATATTTCCCCTCTGATGATGGGATTCTCAGAATAGAAGAAACAATTTTATAGTAGGAGAAAAGGATTCCTGAGAGGGGAAGAAAACCAGAGATGGCACCAACAAAATACATGACTACATTTTTTGTAATGATATCAGAACAGATAAGATTAAGAAGTTGAGAAGGGTCACAAAAGAAATTAGCAATTTCTGCATGCTTAAAATAGGTAAAGTGCAAGGCAATCAAACTGTGCAGTAGGGATATGAAAAGACTAAACAAAAAAGACACAAAAATGAAGAATCCACAGAGATGATGGTTCATGATGCTATGGTATCTCAGGGGGTGACAGATAGCCACAAACCTGTCATAGGCCATCACTGTGAGAAGCGCATCATCCAAACATATGAAAATGAGAAACAGAGACATCTGTGTCAGGCAGCCCACGTAGGAGATGACTGTGCTCTGAGATTGGATGTCCACAATCATCTTTGGGACCGTGGTGGAGATGAAGCAGATGTCAGAGAAGGACAGGTTGGAGAGGAAGAAGTACATGGGGCTGTGGAGGTGGGAGTCAGTACTGACGATCAGAATGATGAGCAGGTTCCCAAGCACTGTGACCAGGTACACAGACAGAAATAGTCCGAAGAGTGTGGGCTGCAGGTTTGGATCCTCTGAGAGATCCATCAGGTAAAATTCTGAGACACGGGTTAGATTTTGTGGTTCTGTATCGTTTGGACACCTTTGAAGAATAAAAGATGGTTGGAAAAGGGAAAGAATGGGCACTAAGTACTAAACAACACACATTCCCTTGATTTAGAATACTTAAAAATCTGTGCAAAAACTAAGACTGCAGAACCGCAGCATAAATTCATTTTTAAACAATGTTAACCTTATGTTTTATTAGTATCTATTTTTCATACATATTAATTGATTCATCATAGGAAATTTTTACCTGTACATAACATATCTTAATTATTTTTCTTAATTCTCATCTCCACCTCTAATTTTGATAGTTCCCAGTGAGAAAATATCATGCACCAGTTTTCTTCCAAGAGTTTTCAACTTATATTTTCTGATTTCCTTCTTTTATGTAGTCTTCACTCAAATTTTGTTTCAATTTTGAAAAGTATTTTTATATGCCTAAGTTTGTTGAACTTCAAGTTTTGATAAATTTACATTAACTGCACATAACCTATATCATCGCTGAATGCAAGTGTGGCATTATTACTGTGCACTGCAGTGCTAAGTATTAAAAAATTAAGTGCTATGAAACTTCTTTGGTATTTTTACAAATTTACTTATATCAACACTCTTCTATTTCCATAAATTTTCTAGTAAGGAAGACACAGGTTTGCCTTTTTTCCATCTGTGCTCCAAAATGAGTGTCTTGGAAATACTGTTTTTATTTTTTTTTCTTCTGAACATAAATCCCATCTATGTTTGACTAAATACTTCAGCACTGAGTTAGAACCCAAAGCCCCACTTGAAGCCCCACCATTCTTATGACATGTTAGGTATTTGCCTCAATCCTTCCTTCTACATAGATTCCAGTTCTCTAGCCTAAGCTAGGAAGAAAACTGGATTTATTATTTTCTCATCTCACAATATGATTACTTGAGAAAACTTCAAAAATAAAAGAATAGAAAATAATATAAATATTCTTTTAAAATCATGATACACAGTATATTTAAAATCATTATTCTGCAATTAGTTTTGCTATAAAAAAATATTTTTCCATGGAGGTATTTTATATTTTCTTAATATCCACTCAGATCACATTAAACTAAAATTGAAAAAAAAATACAAAAAAGAAAAAATGTAAATACACCTGGGTAGTATCATCCTCTATAAAATGGAAACTGTCAGCATTTTAATGTTACAGTAAAAAGCTTTTAAAAGTGTTTTAAATTGCATAGACTGGTAATGCTCAGTTTTTCTTTTATGAACATAGTGTGTGCAATATATATATATATATATATATATATATAT